TGGACACAAACACACACACACAAAGACATGCCATGTACTCCAAAACCCAAACAGATAGAACTTATGGTCTTATCTTATATCTATAAACCCTACCAACAAATTATCATTTCCCTCCATATCTCTCACTGAAAATATTCTTTATGCTCCAAAAAAATAAAGTTTGAAAGTTTTATGACTTTTCAGTGGGTAGGCCACCAACCTTTATTTTTTTCAGTCTTTGAAATAAAAAATAAAAATGAAAAGACTTTTGCCCTTTGTATTTTTGCATGACTCACTAGTCACTTGATCCAAAGCATCTAAAAAAAAAAAAAAAAGAATCTAATCATATAATACCACACTTGAAAGAGGTGTGTGTATATAATACCACATTTAAAAAAAAAATTACAATATATATATATATATATATATATATATATATATTTATATTTACAGATATTTCGATAGTTTAGTGAATTAGTATTATTGGTGAACACACTTGAAAGAGGTGTGTGTATATAATACCACATTTTAAAAAAATTCACCAATAATACTAATTCACTAAACTATCGAAATATCTGTAAATATAAATATATATATATATATATATATAAAAGGAATTTGTTATATTTCATAACTTGGAAGTTTGAAAAGGTTTGAGCCTTTGAGGGCCTTTTGTTTCTCTCTCATCCAACATTTTCTCTATGCATACACCATGATTGGATTTATCATAATTGGTTTTGACTACTTTCTTGAGGAAGATCTCACTTTTGACTCTCAACTTCACTACCCACACTGTCTTTTTTACTTGCAATGACTTTAAGGAATTATAGTAGCTTTTTGTTCCATGTATAGTACTATAAGTTAAATACTCCGTATGTTGAATTGTTCACTCTCTGGTTCATTTACCTAAAGTTGCTACACTCTGTCTGGAAAAAACACACACACACACAATGGACAGTTTTAATTAGAATTTGAATATTGGGGTTTTGATATTTTGATTAACCTGCATACATTTCACTTGATTAATTTTTAGAACTTGCAAGAAGATCTCAATTGGCACAGAATATATGGATTTGTGTGTTGCTTGCTTACGAAATGATAATGATAGTAATAATACTCTGCAAAATCCTATTATGTCATAAATTAGAATATCTAATTGTGCTTTATTAAGATTTATTTAGGTGAGATTTGAGTTCATTCCCTAATTCGAGTTCGAGTCTTTAATTTTTTTTTTTTTTTTTGGTGTGAAAGGAAAATGATTCTTTCTCCATGGTGCTTAAATTTGTAGAAATATTGCAGCCCATCTAATTTTTCATTTATTCAGAAAATGAAACTGCCTTCCAGAGGATAAACAGTCCAATAAAGGTGAAAACATTTTTTGGGATGATTAAAAAGGTTAATACTATATCACTGCTCAAATATAAAACAAAATAGTGATCAAAATGATTTGATATGATAGCTTATCAAGTGTGGTTAGGTTAGTGGATGGATTCTCCTCTCTCTCTCTCTCTCTCTCTCTCTATATATATATATATATATATATCTGAGACCAGTCTTGTGATTGGTAAATAAATTTTGCCATTATTTATATTCTCTTGAGATTGGAGAAATATTGGTAGGTCAGGTGAAATTTCATATCACAAAATTCGAACAAATAATGATGGTGAACTCACTAACATGCTATGATTTAACCAACTTTGCTGAATGAAAAGTATAGCAAAATAATGAGACTAAACAACTTTATTTTTTTATGGTTGAGGGAACAAAATCAATTCCCCAACAGGAGAACAATCATGATTTTTCATTGAGGGTGGGACACCAAATTACAAAAGCCAAACATTAAGAAAATTGCAAATCCATATATATATATATATATATATATATATATATATATATAAAATAAATATATACAAGGATATATGTAAATTATATATGTGTTTAGTAAAGGCAAAGATAAGCATGCAAGTCAAACGCTCCACTAATAGAAAGGGTTCTTTGATAAAAATAAAGCTATTTAAGGCAAGAATTGGATGTTAGAAATAAAACTAATGTTAGGGTTTAACCGCTAGGGGTTGGTTCCAGGGGAGAAGTTTTAAAATTAAGTGCTCGTAAAATATTAAGTTTTAAGTTTGAATCCTCTCAAGTGCCGACTCGTGTGAATGGGATGCTTTGCACGGATCTCGTGGATTAGTCAAGGTAAAACCCTAGACACCCAGTTATCAAAAAAGAAAAAAAAAAAAAATAATAATAATAATGTTAGGGTTTGCATAATAAGAAGATTGAAAGATTGTTGACTCCAAAATGAAAGGAAATTTGTATCCTTGTGCATTTTATTTATCTCATGTTAATGTAAGCAAGGGATTCACCAAAATTTTAAAAATTACCCGACTAGTGTGAATGAGTCACTTTGCACAGATCTCGTGGATTAATCGGGACGGAACTGTAAACACCCCGGTTATTGACAAAAAAAAAAAAAATTATTGTTCAAGTTTGCAACATAAAAAGATTGAAAGATTGTTGACTATATTCTATGATACTCCTTCAAAATGAAAGGAATTTTGTATCCTTGTGCAGTTATGCATTTTATTTATCTCATGTTAATGTAAGCAAGGGCTTCACCAAAATTTTAAAAATTAGTTAATATCTTCAATGTTCATTGCAACCGAAAATTACTATATAAATAGTATATATATATATATATATATATATATATATATATATATATATATATATTTCTTTTTAACTTGATCCATTGGTTAAAGATAAAATTTGCTCTAAAGAAAGAGTGATGTCGATGAAAAATTTAGGGAGGTTCGAACGTCAAACTAGTCACATTTAGGCACCACCCTATGACAGCTTTGCCTAATTATTGTGTTTTCTATAATCAAGATTCCAACTTTGAAATGAAAATGATGTGAGGAAATTAATTGAAAATTGATATGCTAAAGTTGTCCCCATAAGAGGTAAAATGAAATTTTACATATTATAAGGTTAAAAAAGGGCAAAACAAGGGGGGGGGGGGGGGGGGGGGGGGGGGAATACTACATCTATAATCACCACATCATGGGGACAATTTGCTTTTGAAGTGACAACATATTGACTATTTAAATGGTTTGAATCGTGTGATATGATATTTGACAATATTTTCCATATCTACATTCATTTTTTTCATAAATCAAACCTAATCACCCATCATTCAGAATTTTAATTTTTATGAACTCAGCCCACTGCACTCTGTTTCAAAAATATAGACATATCATCTTTATATTTCAATTTTCTTCAAAAAAAAATAAAAATCAATCAATATACAAAAACTAATATTCTTAAAATTAGTTGGTTTTTTCTTGCATTAGTTAAACAAGCACTAAAAATCTTGGCCTTTTTCAAATTCACTTTTTCATAATATATCTTATTCGACAAGCACTAAAATCTTGACCTTTTTCATATAATATCTTATTTGAATGTGTAGAGTTTAGTTATTACCCCTTATATTGTGTTTCAAATTTTATTCTAAAATCAAAAAAGCTAGCTTTTTTCTTTTTTTTTTTTTAATTGTTAACCAATCAAACAATATTAATATACCATCAGAGTTAACCTAAGTTGAAGTTTCACACTCTGAAATTTACTGGATTATCGAGATACCTACTATTTATACAAGAACTACATCTTTATTAATTATATTCTCTCATAACATGTGACAATTGACATTATTTTTAAAAGGTGCTCTCATTGCTAGATGATCCTTCACTTATATCAACTCATATAACACGAGTATGATTTAAGTCGCGAAATTTGTACATCGGACAAGTTTTGTATGGCGAATATGATTTGTTCAGATATCAAAAATCCTTTTCACCACATATGTCAATTGACGTTATATTCAAGATAAACATCTTTTTACAGGAGAGAGAGAGAGAGAGATGGGCCTCTAAAATCATTAAAAACACCTCGCACTCAGTCACATTCACTGTCCCCCCCTCTTTAGCAGCAGCAATCCCATAGGAAAAAAAAAAAAAAAAACTTTCTTTGCCAAATGAATCCAAAAACACTTTCAACACACAACATTTCAAAAAGGTTCTCTTTTTCCAAAAATCCCCACCCAACCCAAGAAAAAATTGAACATTTGTTTTCCTTTTCAGTTGATAAACAAGTTCCATTTATGATGTTAATTAACAACCACCCCATTAAAATGAAAATTGATCTTAATGTGTTACCCAATATTGTATAAGTAACTAATAAAAATAAAATAAAATAAAAATATGTACACGAACAAATCAAATTTTAACGTAGTTTGACTTATAATGTACTTCCACAATTAAAGACGACAAAAAAGATTTTACTAGAATAAATGAAATGAATAAGACTCTCAAACCCGAAAACTAATACACCTTTTCATTATTTAACTCGAACAATATAAATCTTATCAAAAATGTGTATAAGACTTCATTTCGTTGGATTCGAACTACAACTCAAATAGAATTAAAACCATTTATAAGATCGGAGAGGAGCCTAATAACCTCTTCCCATAGAGAAATTAGAATGTACCATTTCTATGCATTAAATAATGAAACGCCATAGTGTGAATTCAATTTAAATAATATGATCATGTTGTTATAGTACTTCAATTTAAATAATATTATTATCTTATTATATAGAGTACTTCCTATGCCTTGCTTTGTCAAATAAGTCTGAAAAAAATAACAATAGCACTCCTGTTTCACTTCTTCTGAGTTCTGACACTGTCCCTTTGCCAAAATGCAGGTGTAATTTACCAATCACTTGTTCACATTTAGATTTTTTTTTAATAGAAGCAATGCTCCACCAAACTATGACGTGGTGGGCTATAATTGGTCCCCCAAAAAAGTAAATTTTTAACGGCCTTTTTCTTTTTCTAATGAAATGATTTCAATTGACCTCATTTTAGTAACAAAATTCAATGCTCAAAGAAGAAGTATTGTTTTCAAGAAATGCACATTGTGGACAAAATTGCCCATAACTGAAAGCCAAGATCATGACATTCATTACTCAAATGGAAATATGATATTATATCATGGAATAAATAGTACACTGTACATATAGCGTCCTCAAATGGGGTCACTTAGAATTAAAATTCTAGGAACATAGAGGATGATCTAATAATAATACACTTGAACAAGTTCTGAAAAAGGTTGAGAAAAATGGGTTAAATTAGCAAAATGAGTGACATTAGCAATTTAGCACAGAAAGTGGTAGATGTTTTGGACTTAGATCACATAGCCTCCTGTGGTGGCACAACAGGGCAGAGCTCAATTGAACCATAGTCAAGCAATTCCTCAATCATTTGCTCAATGTGGTCATCTTCAAGTGGCTTGAATTGTTGGGTGCTCTCAAATTGCACTTTCTTGACTACCCAATTCGCCTCCTGCTCCGGCGGCACCACCACCACCGGTTTCCTCTCCGGTGACCACCTATCCGCTCCGTTGACATCCCTCACAATGCCATTAGCAGCAACATGTGGGCTTTGAACTACCCTTTGAGGAGGCTCTTGTATTGATGGTTTGGTCATTTGAAGTGAGGCCATATAGCACTTGTGCAATTTGGCTGTCAAGGTAGCCGAGAGCAACTTGGATGACGATGACTGCGCCGCCTTAGGATTGTAAGCGAAGTTGGTCCGTGCCCTAGGCCCACACATTAGCCTCGCTGCCTCGTCGTAGGCTCGTGCAGCGTCCTCCGCGGTCTCGAATGTCCCTAGCCAAATTCTAGTCTTCCTGCACAAAAAGACACATTTCTTTTAGTGACCAAAACAAGCAACACCAAAACAGAACATGCATGGCTCGAAAATGAGGCCTGCTTACAGTAATGGGTGGCGAATTTCGGACACCCACGAGCCCCAATGCCTCTGTCGGACGCCCCGGTATCGCTGTTGTGGCCTGGCCATGGCTGTGAAGTTGAAGTGTTTGTAAAATGCCTCAATGAGAGAGCAAGTGTTTGTGAAATGCCTCAATGAGAGAGCTAGGCAAAGACAATGTTGATAGATGAAAGAAGGGCTTGTGGGGCTTTTTGTAGTTGGGTTTGTTGAGACACATAGTGGGGACTAAAGTGGTTTTTATTTATTTATTTATTTATTTTTTATTTTGGCCTTCTGTAAACCAATTTAAGAAATGGGTCCCACTAGGGTCCAGGGTCTTTCTATTCTTTCACCTTTTTGCTATTAGTTAACCAGTTGGCTTGTTGCTATTGACATACATGATTAATTGAACAAATAGGTGAAACAAAATTTCAAAAGTGGCTAGGTTCAATTCACATGACTATAATAATACCCTTTTGGCTGCACAAAATTCTCAATCTTCTAGTTTTATTTATTGTCCTTATTATTCAACTAAATCTAAGGTCATAGTCCCATAGATTCTTCATGTGACTACTCAATCAAAGGTTTAAATAGGACAATAAGAAATTTTGCAATGCCTTTGAACCATAGCAAGTTTTACCATATATTAAGCTCTATATCATATTTTCACAATTTATAATTTTTTTTAAAAAATAAATAATTACTTTGGAAAACTAAATATTGTGTTAAGAATGGTAATTGTATGACATAGTAAAATGATGCCAAAATTAATGGGTGGGCTTAGATTCAAGGATACAATCATAATTCAGTCAAAATATAGGTTGAGACACATGGAATAAAAATCATAGACCATAATAATTATGAGTACGATCTTAAATCATTTAATCATACAATCAAATCTAGTTCGCTATTATGAAATCCATCAATTAGTAACATTCATAATTATATATATGTGCTTTGGCATGTTAATCAGATGATTATAGGTAGGATTAATAGAAACATTACAAAAGTTAATTGAAAAAGATTATGAGTAATCATCCAAAAACAAGGTGGAGTTACTTTACAACTTACAAGTGGTATTGCATGTAGCTTTCATGTTCATGAAATTAATTTTAGATATGGTATGATGATGATTTTATGGTAATGGGAGTGACAATGACAAATTGACAATGTTATATACAAATTTTGTATGTATATGTTGAATATAAATGCAGAGAATGACTCACATCCATTCATAGGTGCAGTTGCTAAACACGGAAACATACCCACATGACAGATAGTAAGCGGAGGACGAGGACACAAACAAATGTTTGTTGTTTTTTGGACGGTCCATGCCCTTAATCTACTGCTCACCCACGTTCTTAGATTGCTACCCCCATGTTATGTGGAAAGAGGGGAAATTGTTTACAATAATCCAAAACTATATGACGCGTTGCATATTGGGAGTAAGGATAATGTAGCGTTCTTGTGCAATAAAAAGAAGGGCTAAGAAACATAAAACCCTCTGTTATTTTCAAAAACTATTTACTAATCTTTTCAATTAAAGAAATTATTATACAATTTCTTAATTTTTAAACATAAAATCCTCAATTGTTTTCAAAAACTATTTACTAATCTTTTCAATTAAAGAAATTATTATACAATTTCTTAATTTTTTTAAAAACTATTTACTAATCTTTTCAATTAAAGAAATTATTATACAATTTCTTAATTTTTTTTAAAAATTATCACATTACCCCTATTCCGTTAATTAACCATCTAAAACTAACAGGAAAAAAATATTCCACTTGAATATGACCATACTGTCCTTTTAATCACCTAATGACCATACTACCTTTTTAATCACCTTCAGTTTGCATCGTGACCCATAGATCATACTGTTCCGGTAACCTCTGTTGAAACAAGAATAATTCAACTCTTATATGTTCAACAAGATGAATCAATTAAGGCCCAACTACAGCGACCAAATAGGCAATTGAAAAGCTTAAGAGAACTTGAGCTGAACGAATTGAGACAGATGTAATACCCCTAATTTTAAAAGGATAGTCTCGGTATTTATTTATTTGTTTTAATTATATTTTTAATTATTTAATTGATTATTTGACTAATTGCTTATGTGTTTAATTGAATCAGGTATTACTTGATTATTTGATTATGTGTCTATGTATTATTTGTATTTGTCTATGTGTTAATTGTTTAATTAGATTATGTGCTTAAATGGTGTTTTAATTAATTGTAAATTAAATGTTTTCTTTTCTTTTATTATTTTATTTTATTTTTCTTTTATGGTTATGCTTAGTAGTAATGGGTCAACCAATTGGGTCCCATGGACTACTTGGACAGGAGGTTGGATGTGTATGGATTATTACCCATGAATAGTTGTGTATGTATATATATAGATATATATTGTATACATATATAAAAAGGAAAATAATTTATTAATTACTTTTATGGTAACTTGGGTTGTAATATTTAATCTTATGTATATGTTTTATATTTAAATAATAAAAATATACGTAGATTTGATATGTGTTATGTTTTAAGTTACTTTATAATATTATGATAACTTTAGTATTATTGGATAATTCATTAATAAATAATGGGATGGGTATAATTTATTTATTTAATAAAGATATACATAAATTATATACGTGTAATACCCCTAATTTAAAAGGATAGTCTCAGCATTTATTTGTTATTTTTGTTGTATTTTTGCATGATTATTTGGTTTAATTATTTTATTTAATTGTTTACCTGTGTGACGTGTATTTAATTGGTATCTATTTATTTGTTTAAATTGCATTTTATTTTATTTAATTGATTATTAAAGGTTTTAATTTAGGAAGTATTTTAATTAATTATTTTCTCATAATTGAGGGTTTAGTTTCTTTAGCCGACACAGGATTTAATTAAGTTCTATGGGCCGACTAGGTTTAGAATTAGGGCTCTGTCTCTGATTAAACACGGATTAGGGTTTATGTTTTTACGCCTATATATATATGGTTACTCTGTATCAAGGGTTGGAAAACAAAACCCTATTCACGTACCCAAGATACAGAGAGGGAAACAGAGAGTAGTTGTGGGGAAAACAGAGTGAGGCTTAAGAGGAAGTGTACAGAGAGGACCAAGGAGGTTGAGTAAGGATTAGAAACTGAGTTATAGGAAGCTTGGCGGCGTTCAGAATTGCAGGAAAACTTAGAGACGACACAGGGATTTCTCAATTGAAATCACAGGCAAGTTCTTCTCTTTCTCCTTCCATTTGGCTCGTGTTCTGTGCACCTAGATAGTCTCTAGGGATTAATTAATTAGTAAATGAAACTTATGTGTTCAATGTATGCTTGTTGATGATTTGTTTGCATTGAATCCAAATCTGTTTATAGTTCGTGTATTGTTGCTTCCTGTTCTGTTCATTAAAGCATATTAAAAATCTGTTGAGTTTTGGTTATGATTCTTGCCTCTATCTTCTGTAAACAAACCCTAGGGATGTTAATGGGATGTTATAAGACTCCTAAGATCAGTTTGTGAAGAGAAACAGAGAGGTTGGAATAGAATTATAATTTCAGTTTGGTTCCTAACGCAGGTTAGTTCGGTAGCAAATTTAGTCTCTGTAATTGTTTTTAATTGTTGTTATCAAGCCATTGGGATGCTACTGGGTATTAATAGGACACCTAAGTTTGGTTTTAAAAACTAACAGAGGGTTAGGAATAAGCCGGAGAAGGAGCACAAGAGCTGAAACGACGCACCGGGGACGATGGCTCTCAAAGGAGGTGAGAGCCGGCTCCATAGAAGTGGGAGCCGGCTCCCACAACAAAGTGGAGCCGGCTCTAGGGAGTCCTAGAGCCGGCTCTAGGCTGGAAAAGAGCCTGCTCCAAATTCTGGAGCAGGCTCCCTTGTTATTTTGATTTATTTTACGGTTTTTTTTTAATTTTCTACATACTATGTTCACTGTTGGAGCATGGAGGCTGTTTGAATGAATCTAGAACTTTACAGAGGGATCAAGGAATGAATTTTGAGTGTTATTAAGACCCTAAATTGAGTAAAGTTTAATTCTAAGTTGTCGGGACAAACAGTGTAAAAATTAAGGCACTTAACAAATGGAAATTGAATTAATTGTTGAATTAAAATTCAGCAATTTGATGGAACATAATGTATTTATGAAACTTGTTTTAGAATGCATTCAAGTGCATGATAAGGTCATTTAATTATTAATTTTGATCTATGCATGCTTAGGAGGCTAGTTGCTGAATTATTAAATTGTTTACTGCAACTATATGGTTAATGCTTGGATTTAAACTGCTGAAATATTTAAACAATCTTCTGAATTGTTTTAGCAATTTATTGGTTAATAATAGGATTATTTAACCTATTCACATGCATGATGGAGTCCCTGACATATTAAATCTGGTCTATGCATGCTCTGGATGTTAGTTGTTGATTTGTTAAATCGTCTCCTGCAACTATATGGTTAAATGCTTGGATTTAAATTGCTAAAGCTTTAAATATTTTCCGCAATTGTTTGGAGGGTAGTTTTTGGTCTGTAAATTATTGAACTGTTATATATGTTGTAATTTACATGGATATGGAGGATGGTATGTACCGGTATGGGACGGTGACATATTAGGGACGGTTTAGCTCAAAACGCATAAACCTAACCTAATGGATTAATGGAATGGATTGAAAGATATCGAATCCTAATTGTGACTAAGTCAGATCAGCTGTAAACAAGTTGGATGACTTCCTGGATTAACGGATGGTAGTTAAGTCATATCAACTGAATAAGTTGAATGACTAACTAGTTGGTTTATTGTATGATAGTTTAATAAATAGTTGAACTGCATACCCTGGATTTGGACGGACTTTATATATATGGTTATGGTACCACGAGTTGAGCTTGAGTCTCAGACTTGTTGGTTAGGGTGCGTATATGCAGTGGATGCGTAGCTGGTTATAATAGGTGGAGGTGTACCCTGTTAGGTCTAGGTACTCATGCCCACCTTTGGGTGCGTATTCGCATGTTGCCTTCTATTCAGGTTGAGACCCCTATTATAGACTGGTGAATGTCCCTTAGTGTGGATATATTTATACGTATGGACTAGATAGATATTGTGTGGTGTCTACGGTGTATCTGCGTATCGGGTCACTGTATGGATTGCAGTTAGATTAGAACTTGCTCGTGGGTCTGACCCACTCCTTTATTATTCTTTTCAGGTACAGGACGGTTCCAGCCTTAGAGCTTGATCGTGCTTGTCAAGGACAGTCTCACTTTCATCTGATTACGTAGGACTTCTCTCGATATTTCTAGCATTATCTATTTTCAGTTTTCAGTTTCAGTTGAACTTTTGGTTAGGGGTCCATCAGTGGATTCCCAAGTTGTAACCTTAAAGTTTTGGAGGATTGGATTTTC